GCTCAGGAAACTTGTAGGAAACATTTTATAGAAGCCTCTCAGATAAATCTAGAAAGTGATTATTCACGTATAGCGTTTCAGATTAGATATTTACCTATGCTGCTATTATATTTAGTATGGTTTCCAGGAACTTCCAGAAGATCAGCTTTGTTTGTATTACTATAAACACCTTCATTTTTCTGTACAGATGCTAACCATGGAGTATAGCATTCCTTTCACACCTTTTCTCTTCTATTCAACTTTTAAAGTAGATTTAGCCTAGAATTATTAGAAGTAGCTAGAAAATCGAATCGACAGTTCAATTAGAATCAAATATACTGGTTTCGAGTTCTTATGGGAATATCAACACTGCTATCCAAATACAGGTTCCAGATAAAACGAAAAACATGTCCTGGATTCCACTATTGATCATAATCTTTTTATTCTAAACATACTATGACAATGTTATTAACTTGTCATTTAACCAGTTAGACACGATTTGAATTATCATGATACCAACGTTTGTAATCGTACAGTTAAGTAGTATTATTCTATTCCCTTATAGGAGATTGGGTTTTTTCGCCTTAATTGATTAAAGAAACTTAGAAGGGATTGACAACTTGATAAATAATAACCTATCAGTATTCAATCCTAGTGATGTATGGCTTAGGTAGATGATGCTCTATTCCAATCACTTAACATAGAATACTACGAATCACTAAATCCAATTACCTGACTTATTTACCATATTTTAAACAACATATACACATACTTCTATCAGAATTTAAAACTGGTATTGTAGTACTTTTAATTGTTGAATTCATGAGTCAATTGAACCTACACCAGCATAGAAAACCTGAAAGCACTGGACGACCATTTCGTCCTAGTATGGGACTCCTCAACTGTATGCATCCACAATCCTGTTTGCAGAATTCGAACCCAGGAACTACCGGTCTGACGTGCGAACGCGTAATCTCTAAGCTACTCTACTGGCATCTAGAAGTGTTATTGTCTAACTTCAATCAATCCATGAAACGGCCATTCAGTGCTTCCACGTTATCTATGGTCGTCTAACATTAATTAACTCATGAACTCAACTATCAAAATTAATACAACCTCCACAAAACCTCTTTTTTGATACTCTAAATAAATCAGATTCTACTGGGCGTATTTCATTACATACTTATTATTTAAGAAAGTTTTGTTTTTGTCATTATTAGTCTCTACCTGGAGCCCCCAAGGGTCTACTACCGGTCCCAAGTCTGGATAAAGGAGAACGGTTAGGCATAGGAATAGTGACCCCATCGCGTAGAAAACTAACTCACTAAAAAAAGTTAACCAGAAAAATATAATTCAAACCAATCTAATATGTAAATGATATAACATTCAGTAATGTGAATACTAAACAAATGAAAACTGTATTCGCTGAAATAAGAACAGATTTCGAGTTCAATCATGCACGCTTAGACACAGATATAGATAGATAGATAGATAGATAGATAGATAGATAGATAGATAGATAGATAGATAGATAGATAGATAGATAGATAGATAGATAGATAGATAGATAGATAGATAGATAGATAGATAGATAGATAGATAGGTAGATAGATAGATAGATAGATAGATAGATAGATAGATAGATAGATAGATAGATAGATAGATAGATAGATAGATAGATAGATAGATAGATAGATAGATAGATAGATAGATAGATAGATAGATAGATAGATAGATAGATAGATAGATAGATAGATAGATAGATAGATAGATAGATAGATAGATAGATAGATAGATAGATAGATAGATAGATAGATAGATAGATAGATAGATAGATAGATAGATAGATAGATAGATAGATAGATAGATAGATAGATAGATAGATAGATAGATAGATAGATAGATAGATAGATAGATAGATAGTAATGTACATTATATACCTACACTTTCACAGTCATATTAGCTGTAGACATTTGATTACAGTTTTGTTAGTTTCCTTATTAATTCTATTTACAATGTAGGTTTAACCGGCAAACTTTCTATCACTTTAATGGATACGTACATTAGTGTCAGTTTTGGTAAAATTCAAGTTACTTAATTAAATAATTATGTGGGTGGGATATGAATCTTGTTTTTCTTTCAGATGAGAGAAATACGTTTACTTTGTTTGTTTGTTTTTTATATTCGAAAAACATTGTGGTATGGGCTACTTATATCCACACTAGAAATATGTAACGATAGTCAGGAATAGAATGTTTTGCTGGAGAAATTCGAGAAGGAATGAATGACAACAGGAACAATGAAATCTGAGACGAATGACTGATATTTGCAAATGAATTGTTTACGATATGATTCTCAGATGTTACTAAAGCATTCGATTATTCTCAATTGCATTCTCGTTCAATTACTTACGCCTGTTACTCCTAATGGAGCATAGGCCACCGACCAGTATTCTCCAACCCACTCTGTCCTGGGCCCTCTTTTATAGTTCCATCCAATTCTTGTTCATTTTACTCATTTCTATCTCCATTTATCGACGTAATGTGTTGTTTGGTCATATTCTTCTCCTTTGGCTTTGAGGATTCCATGTGAGGGCTTGCCTTGTGACGTAGTTCAGTGCTTTCCTCAATGTGTGTCCTATCAATTATATAACATGAATAGAATTTTATACAATCAGCTATATAACTTGATTATGGAGGTTCTATCATTGTTCTAAACAGTAACGACATTCAATGCCTAATTCTAATAAAAAAGATGAAGGATCTTCTTTATTTAGCGAAGCTGAATTACATTAGTTACAAAACAACTTAATAAAAAAAGATAGGAGAAAGAATGGGAGATTACATGAAGACATTGAAATTTCATATGATAAAGGATTGTTATTATTATTATTATTATTATTATTATTATTATTATTATTAATGGTACAGAGTATTTCAATAAGTTCACATTTCTTAATTCTTCATCGATCCCTGAGTAATCGTCAGTTACAAGTTAGTAGTCCAATCAATCAATATCTAAATAATGTACAATCTCTTTTCAATGTATATGGCCAGCAACCACATTGTCTCTGATTGAGCGGTTTTGTAACTTGTACAATGAAAGGTTGTACACTTTTTTAGAAACTCACTTGAATTGGGTTATATGATTCATAGACAATTATGATGTGTTAAAACCGAACAAAGAGAAAGCCGATGACTTGTTGAAATATCTAGAGGGCATGGAACAAGTAGCGCAGATATTCAATCAGGCTGCTGCAGATTGTTTAGAATGATTTGAACAATCCCTTAAATATGTAAAAATCCTTTTTTTCAGTATTGTTTTCTATTCAAGTAGACAGTGGTCATGTTTTACTGAATTATAATAAAATCTCTACAGTTGAAACATATAATTTGTCAAATTGTAGGTATGAAGTCTTATTTCGCAATACATTCAACCATCTACCGTAAATTTTTGTTTTTTGCTATCCTAGTTCAAATCTGGCTGATAGTAGGGTTGTTGGACATGGAGGGTCGACCTAGGACAGTTGGAAAACCCTATTTCGAAACCAATGGTGAAAATGGGCTCCATAATCCTGAGGGAAAAAAAGCCGTATCAACCTATTGGTAGTCACAGATTGCCATGAGACAGAATCTCCTAAATTTGCTCCACTGTCTTTTGAGTTAGACTTTCAGGTCGAAGTCTTTGAGTTTGGCTCCTTAAGAAAACCACCTGGTTCAGTTTTGGGACCCGGTTAGTATTACAGTCTTCACACAAATCAGTGATAAATATTACTAGCCTCATATTATTGTATGATACATATGAATATGCTGCCCCCTTGTACCGATAAATCTGTGTTCAAATAAATAAGTAGAAGCCATCAAAATTTTTTTAGTCATTATGGAATGTACGGACTCACTTTTTGAATACTTTATTTAAAAAGTGATCATGGTTAAAAGTTATCATAAAGAACCAAGTTGAAGAATGTGAAACAATTAATTTTCAATAACTTTTAGTATCTTGACAGTCCATATAAGCTAGACCATCATTGCAAAGCTGGAAGCACTGGATGGCCGTTTCGTTCTAGTATGATACCTTTCAGAAGTGAGCATACACGACTTCGCACGCAAGACTCTGACCCATAACTTTCGGTCTTCGTGTGCGAATGCTCGACCTCTAAACCACTGAGCCCATACAGTAAATACTTCATTTACAAAATACCAATCAATTGTCTCAAACTTGACTATTTCTTTGGCAAATATCAGTCAGTGGTCTCAGATTTCATTGTTCCTTCATTTCAATACCAACTCCTTTCTATCTCCGTTCTTTCCTTCTCAACCTTTTACTACCAGACATTCTAATCCTGACTATCGTTATATACTACTCATGTTTATATAAATAGCACACACCACAATAGGAATTATGTTTATATCAATAAATTTTGCTATATTATCTCATTGAGTTAAAGTATCAGTATTAATGATACACGTATAACAGATCAGGGTTATAATACTTATTAGAGAACAGATGTTTACCATTAGGATAATTTATTTATAGAGATTAGTTAGTTAGATAATTTAGTATGTAAATGATCGTTTCTATTTAAACAGTTTGAGATCATGAGTCAATTGAAGCTAGACCATCATGGAAAACCTAGTCGTTTCGTCCAATTGTGGGATTCCTCAGTAGTGCACATCCACGACCATGCCTCACGGGATTCGGACTCAGGACATATCAGTTTCGCGACAGGCGCTTAACCAACTAGACCACTGAGCCGGCATCCACTGGTGTTAATGTCTAATTTCAACTAGTCCACGAAATTGAGCGACACATCCACCATTGTCATCAGTGAGTTACTATCTCACAAATGACCCGATTGGACTCCACTGGTCACTGCTTCTCACTAGAACTCTAGGATATATATCTTGAAGCCAGTCACTGGTGAGCGTATGTTGACTAGTAGTAATTTAAACAGTTTGAGATCATGAGTCAATTGAATATATACTATTATATATACATACTATTATTTTCTCAATTCATAGGAAGCAACATTCACTACAGTATTAGCATACGACTTGGGAATGCTTGCTCATCATTGTACATGCCAAACTGATGCAAATCATCCTGAAAATCCTCAGCGATTAATTTCTATTTGGCAAAGACTTCAAGTGAGTATTATATCGTCTATTTATTTATTTATTTATTGTGTTAGAATTAATAAATAAGTTTCTATTTAATGATTGAGATCATTAGTCGATTGAAGCTAGATCACCATGGAAATACCCGAATGTACTGGATGGCCGTTTCATCCTATTTTGAAACACTTCAGCAGTGCGTATCCACGTTCGTGCCTCACGAGACTTGAACCCAGTACCTACTGGTCGTTATATGTGCTCTTTATGTTGAATAAGTTTTGTTATCCAGTTATTGATTCTCAAGACTAAATTTGTCCACTTTTTGTTATTAAATATGAATCTTTAATGGATCTCTATTTAGAATAAAGGATTGTGGTTATCTGCGGAATCTAGGTTGTGTGTTTAGTTCTTTTGGTGATCCTATCAGCTAAATGTATCTGAATCACAATGTTGATGTTCATATTAGAACTTAAACCACGTATATTTTGCTTTAAGTCTAGTTTTGTTCTAATCTGTTGTTAATACTGAAAATTGAATTATGATCAGTCTTTATTGACTTCTATATATATGTCTAATAGATACCTCAATTTAATATTCTCAATAGATTAACCCAAATCTTTACAAGAAACATTTTACTTTTTGAATAAACAAATAACTATCTGAACTCATTAACTTGTTGAATGGACTGTTTGAAATTCCAGTGATAGGTATTGGATTCAAGGTATCGAATTAAAAAACATTAACACTTCTATATGACCTACAAGAAACTGACAAGTCCCATATAGAACAAAATCCATTCTCCTATATTCTGTTGCTAACTATAATTTAAAGCAATTAATCCCTTTTATAAATTTCGATAGAACAATGAGAAGACGGAATTTACTTGGTATTATTTGGCTTGTATCTTCCCATTCAGATTTAACACTGCAATTGATCAGTCTGTTATTGGCATATGTGCATACTGTGCGTACGCCTCGATAACACTATAATTCACAAGCTATTTTTAAGCAATGATGGATAGTGGCTAGCAGTGAAATCCAGGACGCGCGTCACTTCGTCCTATTTGGGACTCGTCAGCTGAATATACCTGCATCTAGGAGAGTTGATGTTCACTCTGGGACTCGAACCCAGTACCATTTGCTTCAAACGGAATTTATCTGATAAAATGTAATGTATTTGCGCTATACATTTCGAACAATATGGTCACACAGATATACTTGTCAAGGCATTTTTATATGACAATTAATAAAGGTCAATTAAATGAAAGTTCAAGTAAAAAAGGTAACAAAGGGGAGAGAAAGAATAAGAAATTGTCGTGTTATCCTAGGCCATAGAATGACTTAAGGATTACCAAGGTACATTCAAGGTTACGACAAATTGTTTTTGTACACATAAGGGGGGATTAAATTTACGAATAGCCAAGGCTTCAATAAACTTAAGGATTCGTCCTTGACAATGTCTATACAACATTCTAAAAGCTGTATGAATGTTAATTTTGTGCCCCGTCTCAATTATGTGTTTTGCTATCGATGAACTTGGTTTTCTACCTCCTACATTGATCGGATTATTTGACACACATTGATGTTGAAGCCATTTAGGCATATGCTCATTGACCCTTGATTGCATTGTTCGATTACTCCTCCTTAGTGTATGTGTGTTCCACACAAACATGTAAATTGGTAAATACAATGGGATGTGATGTAATCATACGCAACTACAATTTTAATATTATTTCTCATTAACTTCATAATAATCTGTGATATCTGTTCGATTTCTTTAGTAAACTTAAACCAGACGTTTATGAGAAGTTTTTAAATGAAATGAATTCAGTAAAGTGTTCATTTAAATACATAACACATTGTTATAGGAAAGTATGCACCATGTAAAACATTCTATTTGTGAGAGAGCTGAGATACAACTCAAGAGCCTAAACAGAAGCAGGTGGTTTTCTTAGGAGGCCACAGCTGGAGCCTTTGATTTGCAAGTTTAATCCACAAGGTAGTAGAGTAACGTTAGGAAAACAAATTAAGATGATGGAATATTCTGTTTTGGAAGAAAAAGTATGATAATAAGAACAAGCATTTCGTTCTATTTGGGACTTGTCAACTGGATGTACCTCCATCTCAGACTTGTTGATTTTCACTCCAGGACTCGAACCCACTACCGTCCGCTTCAAAAACTATTGCGCTATCCACTTAGTTACTGAGTCCACTTGCTTGTGCAATGGGGGGGGAGTTTAAATTCACTTGGTATTGTTTACTTGTATCTTCTCATTGTTGTTTAGAACTGCGATTGATCCGTCTATTATTAGCATATATGCATACTGTGCATATTGCCTCGATATTACCTTAATGCACAAGCATTATAAGAAAGATGAATAGTGGCTGACAGTGGAATGCTAGACTTATGTTTCGTCCTATTTTGGGACTCATCAGCTAGATGTACCTGTATCTCAGAGTTAATGTCCACTCTAGGACTTGAATCGTACAATCTTTATCTCAAATGAATATATATATGTTGAATTGTATAAACCAGCGATACAAGTTTATTTATTTTTAATCCGTCTCTAAATCTTAAGTGATTATTACATTTTCTTCTTCTCCAGAATTTTCATTACTCGGTTACAGATTGAGTTATCTTCTTATCCTTTATCGTCACTAATTGAATTTCAATGATAGAAATCTGATTGGTTTATAACTGTATGTATCTATGTATGTGTGTATATTTGTGTGTAAATTGAAATATAACTGAGTATGTATGTTTTGTATCCATGTCTCTGTTTTTCCTTCATAAATGGAAAGTATCCTTTCTAAATCTTATTTAATCAATGTAATCTCCATACTACTAATGATAAACCGGTTTCTTTTTTAAACAAAAATTAAAAAAATGGTAGTTTCTACCCCTCAAAATGTTGAATAGTTTATCTCATTTTTTTTAATTTTTTTTATTTCTATTTTACACAACATCATTTATATGAGATAAGGCTTCTTACGTAATCATACTAGATTTATTATTTTTATTATGAGAAGGGGGTTTTGTGGAGATTGTATGAATGTCAGCGGTTGAGATCATGAACTGATTGATGTTAGACCACCATGGGAAACCTGGAAGCACTGGACAGCCGTTTTGTCCAATTGTGAGACTCCTCAGCGGTGCACATCTACGATCCCGCATCGAGGGAAACAGACGTCTAGTGCTTCCAGGTTTTTCCATAATGGTCTAGCTTCAATTGATTCATAATCTCAATTGTTGAAATTATTATTTTTATATCTATGCTCAAATTAACATAACTGGGTATATGAAGAAGATTCATAAACTCATATGGTTTATATCATTGATTGATCTAAGTTAAACAAGTAATGAAAATCAAGTAACACTAGATAGCTATTTCATTCTAGTATGAAACTACTAATCAGTTCGCATGCATGACTTGTGATGAGTATACAACTTCAAGATTGATGGGTTAACATTCAACTGTTCACGTCTAATTTCATAACCAGACCTGATGAACTTAGATGGGATAGTGGATTTTCACTGTTTAGGAATACTATCCTTCAGTAAAACAGATGTCCATTTCTGTTTTATTTTGAATAATTGTATAACTAAGGTCATTTAATGACATAAACTTCATTTCAATACCGTGATTTGTACATTGATTACTTATTGGTTAAATTATGAATAACTGAACATGAGTATCAATCGCCACTGACCGATTAGTAGTTTATATCACCGCAATCCATAAATGTTATCAGATATAAATTCTATAACCATTTGAGCTATTTAGTAACTTTATCCAAACACTTAGGTTTTGGTGATTTGATCGATTTATTATCTATGATTGATTGATCACTGGGTGGTGAGAGAAACACGAGTGATGTTATGCCATAGCTTTAACAAAAATAGAATTATCAGTTTGAGGTTGAGGAGATTGTTATATTTTTGATCGAGATCATGAATCGATCGATGTTAGACCACTGATGAAATCATGGAGGAACTGGACAGCAGTTTCATCCTAGTATGGGACTCCTCAGCAGTATTTCCAAGTTTTCAGTGGTGATCTAACATTGATCGACTCATGATCTCAAACGAAAACTTAACAATCCTCACAACCCCAAACTGATAATTACCATGTACTCACTAATGACTAGCTTTGTCAGGGGATTCTCGGAGCTCTGGTGAGATACTCTGACCAGTGGAGCTAATTCGTCTCAGGTAGTGATAGTTATTTACCTAATACAATGGAAGGTGGTCACACAGTTTCATGGATTGGTTGAAGTTAGACATTAACACTTTTGAATGACGGCTCAGCGGTTCAGAGGTTAAGCGTTCACTCCTAAGACAAAAGGCTCTTGATTTGGATCTCGCGTGCAAGATCGTGGGTACGTACTACCGAGGAGTCCGACACTAGGACGAAACGGCCGTCTAGTGCTTCCAGGTTTTCAATGGTAGTCAAAATCAAATGGATTGGAATAAAATCACGTTGGACACACCAATTACCACACTTCCGAATCCAAGTTCGATCAGTACTAAGAGAATTGTTTAACTTTAATCGACTTGCATCAAATATGGGGTCGGTGAGATATTCGTCTACCAAACAAAAGACAAGTATACATCATGACAGTCCACTGTGTCTTACTTTATGATTGTAAAGCATTTATCTAAAAAAAGAGATTTTTATGTTGGTCTATTGATGTCTTCGAATCATTGCTCGCGTTTGTTCACACCATTGATTGAGAAATGTAGGGGTGAAATGTAAGTTACTAGGTAACTAGGTTCTAAATTGTTATTGATTGACTAATCAGCTGATTATTCCCATCTATCAAACAAATAATAAACATAACAATACCCTGACTCGGCTATCTTGAAAAATTTTCAGGAACTATCAATGTAACCACTAATTTGAGTAACTAGATATTCTACAGAACACGATCAATACTTACTTACTTACTTACTTACGCCTATTACTACCAATCGAGCATAGGCCGCCGACCAGCATTCTCAAACCCACTCTGTCCTCCGCCTTCCTTTCTGCT